TAAAAGAGTGGGATGCAAAATGTTTCAGTCAGTGCAGTGGGATTGAGCACATTCTCATTGAAAAGAATGCGAATCAGAGGGGGATTGAAATACTCATCCACACTGTCTCTGGATCTTCTCAGTCGTGAAATTTCACCTATATACTACCAGTCCTAATGGTCCACATCAAGCAGCAGTCTATTACAGCATGTAGGCATTCGCATGTGCACTACACAGTGCAACTGCTATAAGCTCCCAACACTTTTGATTCTATTTTTGCCGCCCTCTACTGACTACAACGTTGTATTGGCTATGCTAAAATAATTGGCCAGCGCACTGACTGCCGGCGCGAAGATGTGTTTTTTGCACAGTTCCCCGCAGGTTTTTGTCGCTAACGCCAATGTTTTTTCCGGCAGATGCTTCTAGCTAAAAGAATTGAGACTGGCCACCACGACTGTCAGAAAACATCCCTTTAAAATTTCAGCTTTTTAGCTTTTCTGGTCCCCGAATTAGCAACTTACCCGCCATGAATTTTTACGGGCCCATACGTGGGTACCACGTACATCTGGAGTCTGAGTTTGAAGTCATTAAGTCCTACGTTTATGGGGGGGCATCCCTTAAAATTACAGATTCCAAACTTCCCTGATTCTCGAGTTGGCAGCTCACCCACCAAGAACTTCCACGGGTCCGTACCTGGGGACCAAGTGGGAAAAAGCGTTGCTGCTGTGGGAACAGGGGGCCAAACATGAATGCAGATTAAGCTTCCAAAGTTTCAACTTTTGTAGGACTCGAGATGAAAAATCCGTACCGATGAACATACACACACAGATAACCCCTCGATAATATGCGTTTCTGCACCACACAGATGCAAAAAGCATAAAAAATTTCTGAATTACCGAGAATAAACTCCCAGCGGCAGAATAAACGCTGCTTCGAAAAGTCGGAAGCACTTACTATTTCGCCGACAATGTGCACTTCAGCCATTCAGAATATGCACATTGTGGCCACTCTCCTGCACATTGTGTCTTTCGATTCCTTTCGAGCGCGTCACTGCGTTGTCATGGATACACGTACTCAACAAAACTCCATCTTCATGTGTTAGTGCTACAACAACAACAGTAGCAACAGAAATAGCAACAGCAACACCGACAGCAATAGCAATACTAATAATAACAATAATAATGACAACAGTAATAACGTTGCCACTACTATTATTACTATTGCTAATGCTGTTGTTGCTGCTACGCTGCTACTGAAGTTGCTGCTGTTGCAACAGTTATTACCGCTGCTACTGCTAGTTCAGCCCGCTGCTGTATTTTTTGCTGTTGCAAAGTTCGCTGTTGTTGTCTCTAGCGTTGCTACTGCTGCTGTTATTACCGTTGTTGCTAAAACACAGATCCTTACAATTACTGGTCCATCATCCTGGTGCAGGCGGCTGGAAACTTTTCAGACATTGCATGTATGAATGTTCGGAATTTGCCCACACTATAACGGTGCATGGCCCATCTTTCCCTCGCGGGCTTCACATTTGTCCGGAGACCACTTTGAGGAAAATGCCCTTATAGAACATTTTATTTGTCTCAGCTATTACGGAATGCAATGATCGCAAAGTCATTCTGAGGTACATAATGAGTAACAACAAAATGACACACTGAAAGGTATATGAAAATGCACTGAGCATACACTGTATCACATTGTATAACATCACAGCTATACGAATAACAATGAATATTTACAATCTTACAAAAGGCGCACACTCAGCAGACGAAAAAAAAGCAACTAAAAATACCAAGTTTAGAGGAATTAAGATGTCAAATAAGAAAAACAAGGAAAAGACCGTGCAAAAACTCACAGCGTACTCTAAAAGCGTGTAATATGCTGGAGTTCAACTGGATGCCGGTAAGTGCGGAATTTTCTCAAAACAATTCTCATACTCATGACGCCAACAATAAGGAAAAAGACGCACGCCAGGACTATCAGCAGTAGTTTGTGACGCCGTTCAAAGGTTTACATGTAAAATTTGTAATGTGTATGGTTCCGGTAAATACACAAGAGGGCATGCCGAATGTAACGCCTTTCCTGCAATACCTCAATTTCGCACTATTCGAGATGTTACCGCGCAATTCCTACAACCGATATGCATCAGTCGGAACGAAAATGCAACAAAAATGCACAACGAGAGCAAACAGAAGTATTTTCAAGCAGAAAGAAGTCACGTACTACCTTTAAAAGCCTACGCATGCTGTGTAAATTTTGCAACGCTTAATTTCCATAGCACAGCAGAAATAATTCAGCCACATAAGCGTCCTCTCTTCCACAGGCCCTTTCCTTTTATCAGCGACGATGAAAAGCTTTTTTTTTCTCGAAGTAAAATAGATTTTCGAACATTTTGCAAAAAAATGTAATTCCCAGTGCGTAACATCCATAAGCAATGAACCTGCAGCATCCCGTTAATGCAAAAAAGCGGCCAAACAAATAACATTTGCTTCCGCACACTAGCTTTCCAAAAATTTTACACAGATTTGCCAGGCTCTGAGCCGAACATACTGGGAGAAATGCTCTGCCATTCTCACAAAAAACGAAACGCAGAAAGACGTAGCACAGCTGCTCTAATCACCATTAAGGCGTAGAAGCCCTAAGAACCACTCAAGTGTGCCTACAAAAGCCGCTAAGAAAGATAAATCATCAATCACATTCAAATTCGAATACCCAGAGGACATGCGAAATGCAAAAAACATGCGCTAAAAGCTTCCTAGCACTCATTCACAAGAGGTTTTGTTTTAGTAGCAAGCCCCCCCCCCCCCCCCCCCCCCCCCCCCCCCCCCCCCCCCCCCCCCCCCCCCCCCCCCCCCC